ATTATTCTTAACATTATTCTTATTATTTAAAAAGAAAATCAGCAAGTATATCTGATTTGTTAGATGGAAATTTATATTCTATCTGGATCCAGGATAGAACTGTATCTACCTTACATCTCTTCAGTGCTACCCATCTGGGGTGTTCGGACAAGACGTGTCTCAGGGCCAAGCTGATTTTGTTAAATAGCAAGTTTCACATATACTTACGTGTTTAGAGAACAAAACAAAAATCATATGTTTCTTGTTGATAAATAAGGAGACATAAACGATCTTCAGCTCAAAATGTAAGAGAAGAATTTTCACTTGCATTTAGAGCTATAAAAATTACATTTGATGAAGAACTGGTATATTTACCACTTCTTAATTTTTCCAATCATTGTTCACTTGATTAGTGTTTTATTTTAACGACATTCATTAAAACTCATTTCCTTATTCAAAGGAAACAAGATCTCAATGGGCTTATTAAAGTGAATCCTGAAACAAATAAAAATATCAAGAGGTAAGTAATTTAAAGCTTTTTATTTTCCCTTTGACATTTATAAACACATTGGAATTCTGAGTGCTTATATTCAGGAAAGTAAATCGAAATTCAAACCAAATTGAGATCTTTTACCCCCAAATACACCATGTTAAGCAGTTCTATATGAGTGATACACTTGCATTTTTTTCTCTGGTGTTTACTATAAGGTAGATTTTGAGGAATTAAATGGGAATTTGATTACCCTTCTCTAGTGGGCTAAATGATTTATTTCTTTGTGTGTATGTTTGTGTAAGTGCGTATGTGCATGTGTAAGTAGCATGTTATGTATAAATGTATGTGTGTATATGTTAGTGTGTATGTAGAAGTGTGCTGGTATAAGTGTATGTGTGTGTATTAATCAGGGTTCTCCAGAGAAACAGAAACAATAGAATACATATTTTTAGAGAAAAAGAGACTTATCATAAGGAATTAGCATGTGCCCTTTGGAGGCTGAGAAGTCCCAAGATCTATAGTTGGCAAGCCGGAGACCTCAGAGAGCCAGTAGTGTGGCTCCAGTCCAAGTTTGAAGACCTAGAAACCAAGAAAGCCCACGGTTAAATTCCAGTCCAAGGGCAAGAGAAGAATGACTCAGGTCAAGGAGTCAGGCAGGTAACATCTATTCAGTCCTTCAACTGATTGGTCATGGCCCACCCACATTAGGAAAGACAATCTGCTTTACTCAGTCTACAGATTCAAATGTTAATCTCATCCCAAAACATCCTCACAGACACACCCAGAATAATATTTGACCAAATATGTGGACACCCTGTGGCCCAGTCAAGCTGATCCATGAAATTAACCATCACAGTGTGTGTATATGTAAGTGTATGTATAGGTAGTGTGTGTGTGTAAGTGTACGTGTATTATGTATAACAAGTGTATGTCTGTGGTTGTGTCAGTAGTACATGTGGATATACATGGATGTGTTTATGTGAAAACTGCGTGTGTACATGTGTAGCACATTTGTGTGTAGCATGTGTATGTGTATGTCGTGTAGTGCACGTTTAAAGATGAAGAGCTTAACAAAGTGTTCTTTGTTAAAAGAATTGCCCTACCCATGACTTGTCAAGTAAATCTGGAAAGCTTATGTCCTCTTGCTTTTAATTTTTTAAAAAACAGATGGAACATATCTGAAACTGAGCTTCTCAGCATCTTGCTGAAAACAGCGTACCAGATAATTCCATGTGGTTCCTTTTGAACTCTGTTCCATTCAGTTCGCTCAGTACATTTTATTCTGAGTTGATTCTAAAATGTGTCACTGATGCCTTCGGGCCCACTCAGTGGAGCAGGGGCTCCTCTCACTGAAAGCTGGTGCGCACTGTCAGGCTCTCCTGTTCCCAGCGGCACAGTGTGGTTGCAGGCCCAGCCACCCAGTGAGTTAGAGTCTTGTGCAGTTCTGAGACAAAATCACTGTTGTCCTTGGCTACCCGGGTGTTCCAGGCAGGTAACCTGAGGCAGTGAATGTGAGTAGGGAGTCCGAAGGACCTGGGTTGAAATTCTGGCTCTGTCACTTGCTAGCTGTGTTACCATGCTCCAATTTATGGTTTGGTTTGGTTTTTTGAGCACTCAAATCTGGAAACAGAATTCTGGGAGTTTTTTTTCTTAGTCACTGACATTCAAATTCCACATATTTTGTTTAGGCAAAAATCACCAAAATCAACAAAAGGTATTCTGGGGTTAACAGTTTGATTATTTGCATGAAAAAGGTCCAAATTTTTTTTTTGAAAAAAGTCCAAAATTTTTATTGCTGCTTTTAGCATGGGTACCACATTCTCAGACATCTGGATACAAATAAAAACTTGAGTCAACATCCAGCTGTTCCAAATATCTATATCTTTGATGTTGCATAGACACAATCTCAGAGATTTTGTGATTGTATCTTAGCAGGGCCACAGGGCATGGGAGTGCATGGTGTAAAAGTATCTTCTGTGGGCATTTTTTACCCACGTGGGACCCTCCATAGATCAGAAGAGCATTGGCTGGTATGGTGTATGTGGGAAAACACATGTAGAAGCTGTAGGAAAAACAAGATTCTATCAAGATCAGAAGCAGACATATTAGCAGGTAACCATCAAATACTGACGTGTTTGCAGTGACTACACAGAGTTTTATATCACAGGAAATATGGCTTACATTTCATAAGTATAGATTTTAATCCTTCTATTGATTCTTGTCAACAACAACTAGTCAAACTTTGTAGTTTTAACACACAGAAGTACCAGAAACAGATACCAGATTTGTATATCATGGATTTGAACAAGTTGGTGTATTTATCTTAATCCAGTGTCATAAACAGAAAATCTGCCAATGAATAACAATTTTGCAAAATATGGATTCTCCAAAGTTCAGAAGTCCTACAGCATGTTGGAAGTTAATGTGCTGAGGATGTGCTTTCTGGAATGTTCCATGAAATGTGTATACAGACTCTTAGAAAGTGTTTAGTGCACCTGGCAAAGGCTAAAATTGTAGCATTAAATGAATCAAAATTAAGTCCTAGTTCAGCATTTGCTAGTGGTCTAATGGCTCCAGGAAGAAAATACTGTCTCGCTGAGTCTCAGTGAGTTTCAGAGATGTGTAAATCCCTACATGCTTCTGCATGGTCACCTTTAACAGCCTTCAACTCTTAAGCGTGATCTCAATGAGGGTTTAGGCTTTTTCAGAGTTTCAATGAATAGTCTTATCCACTTGGTGCTAATCTATCATTAACCTCATCATTTTTTCTATGTTTTAAAGGGGCCAGAGCCTTGACAATCTCATCAAAGTGAGTCCTGAAGTAAACAGAGGTAACCCAGGGTGAGGATTATGTCTTATCTTCCTTCCCATCAAAATCTGCATTAATTTATGGCTCTCATTAGAGAAACTGTTTTGAAAAATCTGGATTGGAATCAGAAAGTCTGAACTCCATGACTTACCAGCTGGGTGCCTTTGAGCAAGTCTCTTGAACACTGAGCTGAGGCTTCTTTAGTTATAAAATGAGGCTCATAGTGTCTGTTCTATCTTTGTCATTTGATTTTCATAAGAATTAAGTGAAACAATGGATATAAAATCCCTTTAAAGCAAAAAGACACTACAAATGGAATTATTAACAAAACATAGTTTAGTTTTATCTACAGCATTAGATGGAATACTGAAAAGTGCCAGCCAGGTGAGAATTTTCAGCAACTAGTTCCTGAATTTATTTTTTTTTAACTCAGTCTTGCTCTGATTTAATGATTTTATTTTGAAGGTAAATGGGAAACTGAGCTAGTATACCAATGATTTGTATGGAGGTCAAATTTTTTACTCTTTACATGAGGGCATAGACTGGGATTGATTTCTCTCAAAACTTAATAATAAAATTCATCTTGAGCACATGTATCTTTAATTTAAAGTACTTACTTGACTTAATTCCATTTTCATTTATTATGTTTTTGTTTGTCTTTTTTGTTTAAAGTTCCAAAGACCTCGACAATCTCATCAAAGCGAATCCAAGAACAGGAAACAACGGGCAAGGGTAAGGCAATACGCATCTCTTTTTTTGTTTCACGTTAACCAATGCGTAAAAACATAATCTAATCATCATTTCAGCAGACAGACGCTGCTAGAGTGCCAATGTATCAATGGTAGTTCAAGAAGAGCCATGAAGCCTCCATGACCTCATATGTAAAATGTTTAAGGTTTTGGTCAGTTAATTTCAAATATAACGGAGGTCACTCTGATTCATGCAGTGCACAGTTCTTTTCCCAGGATGGTTGGGACACTTACTCATTGATTTGTTTATTTTTCTTAAGTAGATGGATGGCATAGGGGAGAGGAAAGGGAATCAGACCAGAGTCCAGAGATGTGGGTCCTGGCCTGGCTCTGCCCTCACTAACTGTGTGAAGTGGGCCTGGCTACTCCCCATGTTTGGACTTCAGTTTTCTCACTCTCACAGTGAAGAAATTGGCCCGTGTGCTCCCTGGTCACTTCCAATGTCAGTTCAGCCACTATGTTCCAATAAGGTGGTTGGTGTTATGGAAAGTGCACACATTCTGGACTTAAGATTATTCAGCTTTAAATTCCTCCATGGCCACTACTAGACATGTGGGAAAAACTTAAATCTTCATGTGTCTCAGTTTTTCCCTTTGTGAAAATGGGATGATAATACTTCCTGCTGTTGACCTGAAACAGACTGCCAGATACTTCTCCTGCCCAGCATTTATTCAGGATCAGCAGAGAATTGCCATTTGCGATCTGCAACAATTACAAGCCACATGCAAGTCCCTGAAGGGCAAGGGAAGAACACTTTTATAGAGGACAAGGAAGTTGGGAGGGGATAGAAAACAAAGAGTCCACAGGGTTTTCAATGGCTGAGTCCTGGCAGGGAAGAAGAGGAGCCTGTCTTCTTCCTTTTGGGCTCCGCTATCATGGCAGCAAGTGAGAGCTCCCCCTGCTGGTCTCCTAACTCTATTTCATTGTGGTTTCTGTTTTATTAATTTTTTTTACACTATTTCATAAATTGATGTGAGGATTAAATTATGTAAATCATGTAAATCACTTAGAACAGTGCCTGGCACATCATGAGGCTTCTAAAACCATTGATTATTATTTATTATTTTTATGCAGTTATAGTTATATCCAAATATATATGTTCAGAGTCAAAACTGAAAAAAACTCCAACCCTTTGAGATGATCTCTATTTTAATAAATATTTTATAGTTAAATATTTTTAGAATAAAATGTTTCTCAGTTTTAATAAACATCTGCAACCAGTTGCTATAAACTGACCATTGATTTGATCATTTCTTCAATGTTTTAAAGGGGCCAAAGTCTTGACAGCCTCATCAAAGTGGCTCCTGAAACAAACAGAACTAACCAAGGGTGAGATTTATGGAACTCTTCTGTTTCTCCATTCTTTTCTATTCAGCTCAAATAATTGTGATGAAATTCATTGTCTCACCACAGAGACAGCCAATAATGGGACCCAAAATCAACAGCTCTGTGTCAGAAACCTTGTGTTAAAGGCCTTATTCAGGGCTCCTGGTTGTGAATATTAGTGGAGGAATTCTTTAAAATATGGGAGTCATCTCTTATCAGTATGGGATATGTGTTCCATGCTTGGGATTTCCCCAGAAAGAATCAAAATTCTCCATGAGATGAAACATCTTCCCCCAACAACTTCCCAGAGATAAGCAGCCAAGAGGTCTTTATGTAAAGAAAAATCTTCCTTCATCCTTCGTTTTTACCCTGTCCTCTTACTGTTTATACTCAAACAATTCCTAAAGTTGGGAGGTCATTTTTAAAAATTATACTTGGTGGGGGTGAGTATAGATCAGTGGTAGAACGTATGCTTAGCATGCACAAGGTCCTGGGTTCGATTCCCATGTCCTCCATTAAAAAATAAAATAAAAATTATACTCAGTTCATTGAAATAATAAAGAATACAAAGAGTGACATTTGTCTTTTATAGAGAGAATTTTCTTTAAGGCACATGATTTTGTGTAAACAAAGAGATATAACAAAACCGTAAGTCTATTAAACATATATTGTTATGCTAGTTTGAACATGAATTAAATGCAAAAGATGCCAAAGTATATGTCTTCTTTGTGACAGATTTTCTATCTTACTTTATACATAGGAATTTTATTTTTACAGTAGGTAGCTAGTATATAAAGTTTATTAGCCTCGATCAGGAGTCAGAAACTTCTGCTTAAAGGCTAGAGAGTAAATATTTCAGGCTAGGGTCGCTGAAATAGTCTCTATTTTAACTAGTCAACTAGCTACCATAGATAATACATTGTAAGTGAATGGGCATGATTGTGTTCCAATAAAATTTTATTTATAAAACCAGCCTATAGACTGGGTTTAGCTTGAGGGTCATAGATTGCTGACTCCTGGACTAAGCAGTATTTCACCTGAGTGGGTGAAAAGGATCAACTCTGAACATACTTAGGGTGGCCTTCGAAGCACAGCCTCCCTTGTGTATATTGTTTCATTTGCTTTATGTTTAGACCACAGATTTCACCATTCTTTTATCTGAATATTTAGTGCTAAATCATCTTAGATTTTGTTTACTAAATAAGAACAAAACATTATTGTCACTGTCTGAGGGCCAGATACTGAATCCAGAGACCATGTAATACTTTGCATTGCAGATTAAGATTCAGTGAAAGACAGGTATCCCTTGTCCCTCTTCCAAGATGACTTAGTTTGTAAAGGTGAAATTGGCCTTGATGATATGACCCTTCCCCTGTAGTGTGTGAGCCTCTGTTTTAGTACCCACACTCTGCCATGTAATGCGTTAGGTCACATATCCATCTCTTCCCCTTAGCAGTGAAAAGTTTGTGTTCAGAGAACATTATTAGCTATGCAGTCTTGTACAAATCATTTAACCTCCCTTAAACCTCATCTTCTTTATCTGTAAAGTGGGGATTGTAAAAGTTACCTTCTTCATGAATTTTCTAGGAAGATTAGGTGAGGACACACTTCTGAAGCACTTAATCGCTCAAGTACTTATTAGACATTATCTGTGGATATTATTATTACTGTTACTGTTTTTCTTCATCCTTGGGCCCCCATTGTACCACTTAGTGCTTAACTCAAAGAAGATACCAAAGAAATTATCCTATTAAGTTGAACAATGTAAAATTTTTAACATTCAACCATTTTTTGACCCACAAAACGACAATTTCACATCATTCAGCGTAATAGACTGCAGTAATTTATGTGGAGGGGTATGTACATGACAAAATTAGTTTATAGGTTAATCCTAAAGGTTAGTTAAGTGATGTAAGCCTTTCTGTCTTTTTTCTCTTGAGGATATACTACGAATTGTCCAATAAGAAGGTACATCAAATTAGGCGTCTTGTTCAGGCTTTTTGCTATTAGAGTTGGTATGATGACCCAGTGTGATAACAGAAATGTCCTTTTAAAGCTATTATTGCCTACTTACGTATTTAAGATAAAAGAAAAGAAAGTTACATAATCTAAAGTCTTCCTTGTTCTGATTTAGCATTGCATGAAGCTGATTCTAAATTAATATATCAATGTAGCCTCAATGTTAAATATTCATATTATGTGTATTCCGCCATACCTTAGAATCAGGAAATAAACCCTTAAAAAAAAAAAGTCCCAGGCTTTTGTTTTGTTTTGTCTTGTCTTGAGGGAAGGGAAACAAGGAATACATGGAAATGATGAACAATTTAAATTTTTCTCTTTAAAAAATTTTTTTCTTAAACCTTTTTTTAAATGGAGGTCCTGGTTATTGAACCCAGGACCTTGTGCATATACTAAGAATGTGCTCTACCATTGAGCTATAACCCACCCCCTTTAATTTTTCTCTTGTTCATTGCAACCTTCAAAAATATTCTAAATGCTCATTCTAGTACAAAATGTAATATGGAAAATAAAGAGTTTAAGAGCAATTTAAATTTGAGGTTGTCTTGAAAGAAATCAAGAATAAAACTAAATTAAATTCTCATATATACATTGTGTAAGAAGTGAATTGATAGTAACCACCTGCTTTTACAGAGGGCTAAAAAGAGAAGTAATGATGAAGTTTTGAATTAGCAACAATCCCTTAATTCAATCTTAAAATAGAAACGAGGTACAAATTATAATCAATTTTCTTGATTTTTATAAGCTATTGAAACTTACAACATTTTTTAGGAACCGAGACCTGGACAATCTTATCAAAGTGATTCCCTCAGCAAATAAAAGGTAAGCTTATTGAGATTATTGGAAGCTCATGAGTAAGTCTTCAATTTATGCCCCCAAATATGATTAGTTATTTGACTAAGGACATTTGAAAGGAGACATGAAAAAAAAAATGAGAACAGATTGATTTGTTGATGTGTAATAATGCTAGATAGATTTTTCTGTTATTGTTGCTTCAATTTATTACATTACAATATTGTTTACATTGTAATATTGAAGCAAAATATTGAAGTATAATGACTGAGAAATTCATTTAACACAGTAATAGCATAAGTAGATTATTACTGTGAATTTATAGTTAATAAATTGTAAGTTCATAAAACTGAATAAACCAAAGAATATTGACTTTCTTCTCTTTCACAAACCCAAGGATTGATTTTTAAATGACTTCAGAAAACTGGCAACATAACATTCTTATATGTGATTAGAATATTTTTGCATGACTTTGAATATACTCCTATCTTCTTGAGAAGTTAAGACCCATTATTCACTGGAGCAGAAGTTAAGAAAAGTATGACAGCGTAACTCCAAGCTACCTCTTGAAATTATTGTGATGGTAATGTTTGTGAAAAGCATTGTGCAGATGTAAGGAATTACTGCAAACAGAGAGAGGAAGGATGTTAGCGGGAAGGAGCTTGCGGTTTGGGATCCAGTTGCTATAGTCCCAATCCTGGTTCACCCGCAGTCATTTCTTAGGTATCTGGCCCAAGGAGGGTCTTAACTTCCTTGAAACTCAATTTATTCATAAACAGAGAATGGTAATATTTAACTCATGTAGTTGTTTTGAGGTTTTAAAAAAGATAACTAACGTACATATAGTAGAAACTCAGTAAATGTATCACTTTTTGTGTAGGATTCTGTCCAAAGAAAAACTGCCAGTCATAAAATTTACTGATTTCCAACTGAATTTGACTTTTTATTTTATTTTGATTCAGCAGTGAACAAGGTCTTGATAGACTTATTAATGTAAGCCTCAAAGCTGTCAAAGACACGACTGGGTAAGAGAAAGATACTATTTATTTACTTTGTTTTGTTTCTCCTTAACTAAACACAATATGAATATAAGTGACTTATAATCATTCTTTGGGCAAATTGAATATAAATCTTGAAATAATCATCACCATCCTTATATGTCCCTGGAAACTTAGCTATCTACTTGCTGAGAGACAGAAGGCAGCTCAGGTAAAGCAGTAGAAGGGAGTGAGTGGGGTAGGCATAGGGCTAGTCTATGCCCTGTCTATGCTTTGTAGTATTGATGCTAACACTTTTGTCTCTGAATTTGGTTAAAATTTATTAATGATAGTTAAGTTTTTTAAAAAGCTGACACGTCATTAGATTCATTGCCAGCAATATCCTTCATCTTGTTTTCGCAGAGCGTTTTCTGATGGTCAGTGGAAATTTTATGAGATTCATTGATTCTTAGATTCATTGTTTGCTGCTTCCACCAAAGAAATGGACCCAAAACTTGATAATGCTTTAGGTAGTAGTGATTTCACCTTTTTGAGTTTTGTTGGGACATTAAAAAAAGGCGAAATTTTGGAGATGGCAGGAAGGAACCTCAGAGAACTTGTAGCCCAATTAGTTTGAACAATTTTGCAAACCACTGTTCTGTTTGAATGTATTCAATTTACAGAAGAGGAAATTAAGACTCAGAAAGGTTAAGTGATTTGACCAGGATCAGAGAGAAAACTAGTGGAAGACTAATAGTAGTTCTGTGATCTGTTAGGCAGTGAATAATTACTGAGCACCTACTGGGTTTGAAGCTTACAACTAGGTATCATTAGTTGTGCGTCAGGTGTAATTATAGGCTGTGGATGCCAGAAAGAGAATTCAGTAGACATACTCAATCTTATTAACAGCAGGCAATTATCATAGATTAAAGCTAATTATGAACTGGGGGCACAGGGATGTGACTCCAAGACAATAATAGGTTGTCAATTTAATATATTACATTTTAGGATACTCCTGTACCGCTTGCTGAATATAGAATGTATTGCCAGCTAGTTGCATTTAAAAGAAAAAGAGACATTAAGAAGCTAATTTAATAAAAATGACAGGCAGTGAAATTCATATTCACGGATTCCTAGGAGTAGAAGCTGTTAGACATGAGCAGAGGCTTAGAGATGACCCAGTCCAATCTCCTCATTTTACAGATGAGAATACTGAGGCCAGGGGCAGGATCCCACAGTCTTCTGTGAGTTCTTCTAACTCCCAGCCCAACTCCTGGTCTTTAAACCATAACACATGGGCTTTGATCTTAAAATAAATGAAAGTTGATTCAGCACCTTGGGAAACGGTGGAGACTCTGCAGCTGGGATTGCTGCTCTTGCCATGGGGCAGCCGAGGGTGTTCTTTACCGCTTCCACAGGGTCACTTCAAGTGACCATGGCACAATTATGCCAATGAGTGCAAAACACATTACAGCTTTTGAACTACATGAAAGTAATAATAGCTAAGTATTCCAATGTAGCCCTCTATCCTTAAAGCAGTAACTTGAGTGGGAAAAATGTTGCATTTTTCCTAGATAAAATTTAGGTTGAAGATTCCTGTGTTTGTAGACTCCAGGGCCTGTAAAAAGTGTCTATAGATTTGTTGTTTTCAGTTTGTTGAGATGAGTTGCATGATGCTATCAATCAAGGCAACTCAGGACTATTACTGAGATCGCTGTTGTATTAACGCACAGTATTGTCTTTTTAGGAGAAGTGGTAAAACATAGCAGGCGTTCATATGTTTTCTAAGCTAGTGTTTCTGAAATTGTGGGTCACAACCCATTAAATGGTCTTGTAATTAATTTAGAGAGTGGCAGTCAGCCTTCCCCCCCCCCAATTAACTAGAATAAAAGAGTAGAGAATACAAGAGTTCTTATACAGTTAGGGCATAATTTCATGAAATTTATGTTTTATTGTGTGTCTGTTGACTGAAAAGAGAAAGTATTGGGCAGTGATGTAAAATGTATTTTTTAATGAGCTTTATGAAATAGTGGTTGTGAATATTACAGTTCTAAGGTTTTAGGTGAACCAAGTTTTCTGTACCAGGCAGAACAGGGAAAACAGAAGTTCTCATGTTTGTGTTTGCATTTTTAAAATAAAGCTTACTCTTTTTTCTAAGCTTACTCTTAATTTTGCTGGTAGGTGAGTATTATATGTAGTGACACTAAAAACATAGTGACTGATTTTATGTATTAAAGGATTGTAGCCTTTGAGCATATTATTTCCTCTACAAAGTTTTATTCTTTGTGTTTTTTCTTTTAATATATGAAGTTAACCTCATTTTAAAGATTGTCTTTCAGGCATGTTTAATTTTAGATTGTGCAATCAATGTATACAGGAAAATTATGTTTTGGATAGTTTTCATATGCTTTATTATTCCTTTAATAGTATTTGTAGACACCAGCTGATTATCTTTAATTGAGAATGTTATTCTTAAAGATAATTCAAAACAGTGAAAATTTATTTAGAGGCTTTCTGTATACCAGGGAGATCTGAGAAAAGGGATGAAGAGATAAAATTTAGTGAAGCCATGAACTGGGAAGCACATTCTATGGAAAGGCTTAGGGTTCAGGGAGTGAAATGCAGAACTTTTCTCAGACTTTTTGATGATTAACCTCTAAGTGCCTCCCCTTCAGTTCCTAACCTTGCATCAGTCTTTTCGAAGAATAAACTGTATTATATTATATTTTATTATATTTTATATAAAGGAAAAGCACTTTAGGAGAGAAGGAAGTACAGGCAGGTTGTGGTCCAAAATTTACTAGAAGCAGGTGTTATCAATCCTGAGATTTCCTGCCATTGCGAGCTATTCTATTTCTTTGAATAAATATTATAAAGTGGTTTAGAGGAACACTTTGAAACATCACTACTCTCCAGCCATAAAAAGTAAAGTATTATACTGAGGCAGTGAATGACAGTAAACCTGTGGGAGGAAATAGTGTTCTCTGAATGAGGAAAGAAACTGGTAGGTTCAACTAGGAAGTGGACAGTTTTCAGACTATGTCACTAATTTGATTATAAACAACTGAGTTTAATTCAGCTTTTTAAGTCATCTTAGAGGAGAGAAAAGTCAGTTTTGATGGATTACCAGATCTCTTTGCCAAGCCTCATGTTAAGTATAATCCCAGTTTTGAAGCTTATTTTTTTTTAAAAAAGAAATCTTTAGTTGGTGAATATGATTTTAAGAATAACAACATTCGACATTAGAATCAGTTTGTATCTTCATTCCAGAGTGAGAAGTGGTTAACTGCCAGATGTTGCTATGAACTCTTTGTCCACATGCCCTTGTAGATAGGCTCTGACAATGAAGTGTGTGAAGTCAGAGTAATTTTTCTTCTGATCCAGTATAATTCATCCTCCCTGGATTGGTTAGAAAATTTATTTCAAGACTATTCTATGCCAAACCAATATGTCTCACACTAAATGTTAAAATAGCTAATCCTTTCTTCCAATTCCAACCATTTTAGACCTGTATTATCTCTAATACAAGCTGCTTTAATTTTTTTTCTACTTAAAGGAGTCAAGATCTTGATAAGCTCATCAAAGTGAATCCGGAAACTCTCACCAACGACCGAAGGTAATGGAACTGTTAATTTCTGTGCTTTGAGTGGGAAGAATATTTTGTTTCACTATTATTTCAAGCAGATTTATAACCTTAAGATCTTATCAAAAGAACTTTATAATTAACCTGCTTTCTTTTGTTTTTCTGTTTAAAGAAACCAGGATCTCGATAACCTCATCAAAGTGAACCCTGAAGTAATCAGAAGTAATCAAAGGTAATCAAATAAAAACAACCATTTCCTGTTCTTGCGTCTGTTGCCCCTGAGTGGAGTGGGTTTATATCGCTTTACTGACCCAGCACAAGCAAAAAAACCTGTCACTAATCTGAGTTTATGTTTTTTCTCTTTTGAATAGCAAAGCTTTGGACAGTCTTATTAAAGTGAAACCTTCAGCTCTCAGAGACACAAAGCGGTAAGTGACTTTACCTAACTCTCTTTTCATGTTCCCAAAGTTCTAGGTTAGGAATTCCCCCCTCCCTCCCTCTCTTTCTCTCTTTCTTCTTTTTTTAAACAAGCCTTTTATTTTTCTTTAGTGGCTAAATGAGCACACATTTATAGCCCATGTGTTTCCTGCCAGCAGAGAACGTGCTGCACTCTTCTGGAATCAACTGCACTCTCTTGGCCTCAGTTTGGTACTTCTTATTTGCACGAAGACAACTTAGTGTTTTGTTGTCTACTGGGAACAGAGTACTGGGACTGAAATGAAAAATTAGTGAAATTTAATTAGAGGAAAACATATTTTGGAGAAGCTGAGCCAAACTGGTGATTGCATCTTCATATAGATGCTTACAGAGTGTTGGAAAGGATGTTCAGAGTCTTCAGAATTGCAGATCCACAACTCACAAGGGCTCACAAAATATTCCAGCAGATTTTAACCTTGCATTTCCATTTTGAGTTCTGCAAATATCTTATAATTCACTATATGTCATATCTTTCACTGAAAGAGCTTATTAATTGCTAACAGATAAATGCACCGGAGTGCACTGTATTAGAAGTCCACATTGTTCTGCTGACCTGAAATTTTGTCATAATAAATATGTAGCTGGGAATCATAGTCTCAATATTCTGGGATGAAGAAAGCAAATTAACATATGGAAAAGTGCTTTGAAGCCACTAGGAGAAAGGATGGTGTGATAACACTCATTGGCAAAGGTCTTATGTCTTTTAGTTGGTTTTCTACATTAATGTTTTATTTTGCTTTTTCTGTTTGTGTGTTTTTATCATGAGCTGCTGGGGTGTCTGAGGTAGGAAGGTACCAAGGCAGTTAAAGAGCAGTTGCTGCTTAGAGAGCAGCATTTATTGAGCACCTTTGACATGCCTTTTTATACATTTAATCCTCACAACAACCAGCCCCATGAGAAATATATTCATGCAAGCTATTTTATAGAAAAGGAAACTAACTATAGCTAAAATATATTAAATAATCTTCTTCAGAAAGAAAACACATCCTGGACCTAAACTTGAATTCTTCCGACGTCCCTACTAGAGGAGAACAGGAGATCTGGGGCGAAACAGCTCAGACTCACTTCTCCTTCCCATCCTTCATCTCCCTACGGTCCCTTCCTTTCTAATCCCCCTCCGCCACCAGCAGTTAAAGGACTACAGTTAGATACAGCTTTTCTAGAAAATTGTCGTTAAAATGACAGGAGAGAGAGAAAGTGCTTGTCTCCTAGAGATTTTCTAGTAACTGAAATAACAGCGGACTTTTGGTGTCGACCCTGCCACTGGAAATATCTTTGTTAAGTAGAACAATGTCTTCATAGTGGCATTGGTTGGGGCAGATTTTTCTTTTTATCAGTAACAGTTTCAGGAGGTTCCCAACCCATGTTGGAAGTGGCTAGACTTAACCACGTGTGGAATAGCCAACAGTGGCTACTGTAGCCAACTTCTCCCTTAGTGGCTGCTTCCATAAAATGTATCTTTCTCTCTCTCTCCTCCCCTGTCTCTTTCTCCCTCCCTCTCTCCTGTCCTCCCTCCCTTACTTTCCCCTTATTCTAACTTTCTCGTCTCTCCCTTCCTTCTTCTGGCAAATGTGCTATATTGGCAGATAATGGTAACTTTCTCATGAGTTCTGTCTTTTGTTTACTAGAAGGGGCTAATCTTATAAAAAGTTCTTTGTGTTTCAGCAACTCCTAACAAAATATCTATAAAAAGAGGACATCTTCCTTATACAGACAGGATTACTATAAAGAAGAAATTTTCAAATGTTGACCATTATGTTGTTTTCAGATGGCAGCTTGATCTACAAATCTCATGTAAGCAGTGTCTGATTATTCTTTAGCATTTACACCAGATTTGATGATAATCAGCCAGGATATTCAAGAATTATTGCAGAACAAATAGGAACGACTAAGCTGCCCATTTAAAAAAGTGACTTCATTCAATATGTTCAGTCTCTTGTGTCTACAATGTATCTATGTGGCCCACTGGATTTTAATGGGTACAGAGAGGGGGCATTTTAACATGCCTCCCTGTAGGAATAACAGCCACAAGGCACTTTTACATCCAATTCAATGTGACAGGAGCTCTGATTATTTAATAGTGTAACAGTGGTGAATCAGAGTTCTTTTTATGTGACTTTGCTGACATTTCCAGCAGCTGTATATTTAATTCGCAGTTAGGGGCGGAATAAACTTTAGTCATTGATCAGAATGTAAGCAGGTGTCCCTGAGCTCCTTCTAGGAACACAACAACCTGAACAAATGTAGATGTGCACAGAATTTTCATTTATTCAGGGAGAAACTGCATGACTTTTAGCAGTAGCAGTTTCGTGTTTTCATGAGCCAACACTGAAGAGAAATATTCAACTATCTATAGCCTAAAACCAGCTGCTCCCATATGGAGATTGAAAAACATCTAGTGATATAGGTCTTTCCAGTCCATAAAGCATCCTTCATCAGAAGTAGAAAAAATATTCTGAACTATTTGTCCTATTATACTTCCATTTATGCAAGAGCTTCGTATTTGCTAAGACATACCTTGTTAGTATTCCAGTAAGAGAATTCCTTCCTATCTTCCTATTGCATACTTCTCATATTTCTTCTCAAGACAGAAAGCTGGGGGTTGGGGTGGGGTGACCTTGACTGTTTCCATTGCTTTGTTCCCCATAATCAACAGGTGACTTTGGATGCTTCTCCTAGGAGTATCTCAAGAACCAAGACACTTCATCATCCCCACTATTACTGTAGCCCAGATTACTATTACATCTCCTCACCAGTCCCTCTGTTGTCAGTGATACCTTCTGCCCGTCAATCCATCTGCCTCACTGTAGAGTGATCTTCTTAAAACACAAACCTGATCACATCTTTCTTCTGATGAAGGCCTTCTGTGGCTTCTCATTGCCACCGGACAACAGCTGTACCCCTTAACCTGGTTTCCAAAGCCCACCATGATCTTACCTCCACAGGTCGTCCCATTCCTATTCCTTATTATGCTCCACCCACAAGTAAAGCCCACCCACACACTCTCTGACCTGCAGGCGTCTCGCTCCTCCGTCATCGCCATTGCGTGGATAACTGCTACCCATCCATTAGGTGTCAGCTGAGGTGTCTTTGATTCAGGTTCTGGGAAGCCCAACCTGACCCACCACATCCACATCTGGTCCTTCTAGATGTTTTCAAGCTCTCAGTTTTCTGTCCTGTAGGTTTTGTCTCTTAAAGGGAATTATTATTTTATCATATCTCTTCAACAATTAGATTTTTAAGGGCAAGAAATGAGTCTGTCTTGTTCACTTCTTCATCTACAGTGCATACCACAATGCATGGCACATGTTAGATGATAAATAAATATTCTGAGTTACAGGCTAAATCTCAAAACTGATCAAGACCCTATGATCATCCACCGAGGTACAGTCTAATCCTTCTGACACTAACATTCTGAGCCCTCATGAATGAAACCAGACTGGAGGGATCTGATATCTTATGACTGGTCTCCTTGCTTAAGCCAGCGACTCTGTTTTGAACCATAATCTCAATGAACCATGGTGAATTAGAGTCACTGAAATTCTTGGTCATTTCTTATATTTAAAATACCCAAATTGTTCACCTTTCTCTATGGACCTGTTAATTTCTTTAATGTAAAGTCTTTAAGATTCCTTCATTGAAACAAATTATAAAAATATCTAAAGCTGCGCCCATTTTTTTTTCAAAGTCAAAAGAATTGAAGAATTATAACAGTGATCTCACTGTATTCTATGCTTCTTTCAGAGAGATAAAGATTCTTTTTGAACTAAAACTTAAAGCCTAAGATTTAGTTCTTGGCATAAACGAAGTACCATAGTAAATTTTTCAGATGGAGGCTTTTAATTTTGCAAATGTGTTTGATACTCTGCAAAAACAATTTAAGTAAGCTGTAGAGAGAGAAACATATTGCAGCTTTTAATAAATACTTCCCACACCCTCACAGGAGAGAAAGAGCAGTTGGGAGAGAGCTGATAGAGTTCTCTCATGTTGAAAGGAAAAGCTGTATTATAAAGACATGGTAATACCTTGTTTCCCAGAATCTCTATTTTTTTCTTAATCTGCTCTGTAAGGGAGTGCCATTCCTTGATGGGGCAGTGAAAAATAACTTACATGATTATAACATGGATAAGTGCTTCTATTCAAAATGTGTGCTATGACTCCACGTAACAGATAACTCACATTTTCTCCCAAACATTTTTGAAGTCTACAGAAAGAAAAGCATTTGTAGTTGTTATGGTTAACAAAATTTCTTTTTAGCATTTCTCACCGTATCCACAGAGAATTGGTTTCTTGAAGTTAGTTCCAACTGCTCATAAAATCACAAAATTATAAGGTCTTCCTTCCACTGAACTGCCACAGAGGTTTGGAATCAAGCCTTTGTTCGACCCTGCAGCATTTGGCTGGGCTTCTATAAAAATCTATTTTTCACACTTTGACTCACAGCTCTTCATCTTCTGTCACAGTGTAAAAGACACGATGCAATAGACATGGTCTTAATTAAGGAATGAAAATTTATTTCTTACTCTCTTCAACTCGGGAAGTTTCTGGGCAATCTGAGCTTCTTTTGTTGGGTCTCCACATCTAGCTGATGACATCAGTCAGGGTGAACAACCAAAGCAAATACACATTTTGTACTTTTCATTATCTGAAACTTTGTATTTTACCTTAAATATTAGTATAGAGTATTCAGAATAAAATCTTATAATCCATTCTGCCAAACTTGATATGTGACACTGTTTAATAAAAACAGCAAAAATTCTGTGAAGCTATTAATGGCATCGTTTATTCCATGATGCACAATTAAATTCCTTTGGGAGTGTGCCTCTTTGAAGGCAAGCATAGGTTCCAATTTTGCATTGTTTACCTGGAGTGGTTGGATTTGTGAGATTCTGGCTTCTTCTCCTTGCTTAGGTCTAAGCCCATTGCCACTCTCCCTCATGGTAGCTAGGGTCCAAAAGACGTGGGTCCTGGAGGTGTGGCAGGGGGCAGGTGTAGGCAGATCAAAGAAGCAGCATCTGTGGCAGCCAAGAGTGGAAAGTGCCGAGCAGGTAAGGACATCCAGCATCAGGCTGAGAAATTAAATGTAGTCATGCTGTGAGGGCAGAGGGAAATCGATACTAGTTTGTAGGGCTGCCATCACAAGTACTGCAGCCTGGGAGGCTTAAAACAGAAATTTATTTCTCACTATTTTGGAGGCTCAAAGTCCAAGATCAAAATGTCGGTAGAGTTGGTTCCTCCTGAAGGCCCAGAGGGAAGGGGCTATTCCAGACCTCTCTCCTTGGCTTATAGAGGGCTGTCTTTACCCTGTGTCTTCATTTTGTCTTCCATCTGTGAGTCTAAATTTCTTCTTCTGATAGAGATGCCAATCATATTGGATTAGGGCCCACCCTAATGATCTCATTTGAACTTGATTATCTCCGTAAAGACCCTATCTCCAAATAAAGTCCCATTTGGACATACTGGCATTAGGACTTCAGCATATAAATTTGGTGGGGTGCCAAAATTCGACCCATAAGGAAATGTTCCAAAATAAGGAAACAAAGCCAGGGGTGGGAGCTGTGTTAAAAAGGAAAGAAATGTGTGCAATTCAGAGGCGATGTAAGGCAGGTTCTGGGTGATGGACACAAATGGAGGTAAAGTGTCCATCACTGTCTCTACTGAGCTTTTCTGCCTGGTCATGGTGCACACTGTGTAGCTCGATGTGGGCGGAGTTGACTGCCTTAAAGGTTTTGGAGATTAGTATCTTTCCCTTGGGTCCCTTTCATGTCTTTTCCCAGGGCCAGGTAAGGTAGCAATAGATTTCCACCAGAGAAGGAGAAAAAGAGAATTTGAATGGACTTAATGCCACAAGCATTTTTGGAGCAGCTACTGCAGGGCAAGGCCATGTTAGGCCACTAGTAATGTGATTGTACTCTCAAGTCATAAAGAAAAACACCAGCTTCTTTAAAAAATGTCACTCAGTTCATCCAAGGTTACCTTTGGAGGGAGAATCACTTTCTGGGACAGAACTCTAATTCTCCAAGATTCACGTTTCCTAGTGATCTCTCACCATTTCCCATGGTCAACCATCCCAGTCTGACATTCCTAGAACACTGGATAACAGAAGACCATGATACTCCACTTAATTTTATTCCGTTATCCCCAAGTATTTGGTAAAGTATTATTTTAAAATGTTAAGGGGAGAATCATTTCATGCTGAGGCTGTTAAAATAGTATGGTGACCCCTGAGGCTAAGAAGTAATTAGGGAAGGACCGTCAGGGGTCAGGCAAATACAAAGCCTCCTGTTTCTGTTTCTCAGCTTGAAGGATGCCACCTGGGAGGTTTCCTCACCCAGTCCTAGCAGTTATGTTGAGGAAGTTAGTTTTGAATTTTATATCATTCTGACTGCAGAATCAAACGATTTTGATACTCCTGAGCTGCTTCTGAAATCCTGTACTTTTTACATATATTAATTGGCATATTTTCTACTATCATTCACATTAAAAAATAATTTAACTAATTTCTACATTTTTCAAAGATGTGCAGCTAGTATGTTAAATGTGAGGTTTAAGTGTAGCTGTGGAATGCTGTCTAATTAGCATATTTATCAATTATTGATGGTTTGGATATTATATAAAAAGAGTATTAAATCTCATTCCACATAAATATGAGGACTTTTAATATTAATTTTCATCCTTATCAATATTAATTTTGTGAGAGTCCATACACTGATTCCATGTAAAACAGCCTTACTTGAAATCTATTCAGGATCAGAGAAGGGAGATTTATGAAAACCAGATTTGATTCTGAAGTTGTGAAAAGTTAGGGTAGAAATAAAAATGAAAATGTAGTCCCTCAAAATTTTGGAATCCATATTGCCTACTGCTGTGTCATTACACTTCTGTTAACTATCACTTACTTATTTTTATTCAGTTCACTCACCACTGTGGTGATCGTGCCCACAAATTTTATTTACATGAAGTCATGTATTCTCACCGCAACCTTATAGGATTAGGTATTATTATCCTAGTTTGCAAAAGGAAACTGAGAAATGTCGACTAACTCGCCCAAGGAAATAGGAGAAGTCATGGCCTCACTCTGACTCTTAAACCATCCTCCGCACCAATAGAGTTTGTGACAAAGACTCTTCCAAACTCATGGGGAAGAAAAAAGAGCTACCAGTATTATAGCAAATATATAAATAATAAATAAATAACATACCAGAGGACATTGTATCTCATGAAGATGTGTCAAACCATTATCATGGCACAAGATTTAAGAATCAAATTGTCCCATTTATCCTCCACATGATGAATTGTTTGTTCACATTTTGAGTTGACTTCTCATGTTTCTATCATGCAAAAAGCTGGAATGAAGTCTCTAATTAAACATTTAAGATTTGGTTTCAGATGGGCAGGTCGCTCAGCCTCAAATCTTGACTCTTTTACAAATTCACTAAGTGACCTTGGAAAATTCCCTTAGCCTGAGCCCCATATGCTGTCCTGCAAGATTTTGTGAGCTCTGAATGAGATAATCCATGTAGAAATACACAAGTTAGTACTTCATGACACAAAGTTAGTATTCATTCAAAGTTAGCTGAATGTGAATATCATTCAGTTGTTTCTTTTCAGACCAGATTTCACAAACCTTCCGAAAAATTAGTTCTTTATTTCTCTCTCACGAGGGTAATCCACCCTCATACTTGAGTTGTATAGATCAAAAAATTCAATATCAGATTTTGTATGTCCCTTATTCTAAAAGATCACAAATGACTGCATCTAAGATTATGTACTGATCTTTTAAAATGTTATTCTAATGTTTATTTCCTAAAATTATATGTAACTAAATATTTTTTTTCCCTGTAGAGACCAGAACCTGGAAAATTTAACTGAAGTAAATTCAAACATGTCTAAGAATAAGAATGGAAAGTAAGGCTTATTATAATTTATGTTTTTCTTATGAATTCCATATGAACTTGCATAAATTATATAACCTTGGAAGATTTTCTGAGAAGTTGAACTATACTATGATATTTAAGTATAAATATTTTCTGAATACAAAAAAAAACCAATGTACAGGGTGCTTAATAGCTGATTTGGGGAAAAGTTAACAAAATTTAAATGCTGTTAGAATTTCTGACTAAGGGCCTGCTGTTCAGTGGTTTAGTGTAAAAGGCATCATGGAAATTCAGTGCTCTGCACTTGGACTGTGAAGATTTATTTTTGCTCACTGTTGCTTGGTAGGTTTTCAGTGTGCAGAAAGCACTCTGGGAATCTTCCTTGGATACCTAGTGCTAAAAGAATGCACAGACTCATCACAGCCACAAAACAGGACCTAATTTTGGAATTTCTTGACACCACAAAGTATACTGGCTTTAAAACTGTTGTACTTTGTTTCTTCTACAAGGAAGGTTAGGATAGAAGCTATACTTCATTGTTGTTACAGATTGTTTAAATTAGGAAAGAATTTTAAAAGCCTTCCATGTTTAGCTGTTCTCCCCCCACCTTCCTAAAAACAATGGCTTCTATTTTTAACCTTCTTAAGGTACGGCTGCCTTTTCTGTTAAAAAAAAGTATGTAAAGAAATGATATTGTTGATATTGGGTGCAGAGAGTGGAAAAGCAGGAAAAGAGCTGGTTCACTGTTTGGTTGATTGTTCATGCCTCTAAGGGGATCTTGCGTATGTTTGGCTCTTCCCCAGATCATCTGCTTTCATGTTATTGATCCCAGGCAAGCCTTTGATAGAATGAGGGAGGAAACGTTTTCAATAGGATCTATTGGAAAACATCTACTGTTTTGGAAATAGTGCCAGGCTTACAATTAACCACTCTCATTCAAATATTATTTGGAAGTGATCCAGGTTAAAAAAAAGACAAGTAAATGATTAAGTATACTCAAGGAAGTTCCCAGAGGATGTGATGTGAGAGGTGTTCCAACTTCAGTTGGGCTTGTTCATGAAACTGGGTTTTGTTGGAAGGATTAATGGGGAAATGGAAATTCAAAAGCAGGAATGGTAGCATGGCCAGGCTCCATAAGGCCTGAAACACTGTCCGTTCTTGACCAGGGGACACTCCATCAGGAATTCCTGGACATTATAACCTTCGTTCTTTGTCATTATTGTAGTTCAGCTACTTCCTGGGTGTTGTTGGCTTCTGCTGATTTTTCTCCTGCTCTTCCCTCTGCTTATTGGCTTCCTTATTCTCTATGCTGTAGCTGTTTGATAACCAAGAACTTTAGCTGTCTCCCAGTTTCTCCTTCCTCATAACTCCACCTTCCTCTAGCTTGCCATGGTCTGTCTGATCTCCTTTGGTAAGGCAGTGTGGTTGTGGCCATCTGCACAGAAGAGGGTGTGTGGATGGAAAACACCACGGTTGACTTGGTTCACTCTTTGAATGTATTCACTTTGTATAGTAATTGGAGGTCCACATAAATATATGTTTTCTAATTAGTATATTCACAGAGTTGTACAACCATCACCACAATCAATTTCAGAACCTTTTCATCACCTCAAAAAGAAACCCCATATCCACTAGCAGTCACACATCATTTTCCTCCAACCCTTGGGACCTTGGTGACTACTAATCTACTTTCTGTCTCTTTGAATTTCCTATTCCGGACATTTCATATAAACGGAACCATGGAATAGGTTGTCCTTTGTGACTGGCTCTTTTCACTTAGCATAATGTGTTCCGGATTCACCCATGTTGTAGCATGTATCAATATTTTATTTCCTTTTATTGTCAAATATTCCATTGAATGAATAAATCGAATTTTATTTGTTCATCAATTGGTAGGCATTTGGGTTGTTTCCATTATTGGACTATAATTCACCATTATTAACAATGCTGCTATAAACGTTCATATGTAAGTTTTTGGGTCGAAGTGTTTTCATTTATCTTATACCTAGGAAGTGGAGTTGGTGGTTCCTGTAGTAACTCCATTTGAGGAACTGCCAGACTGTTGTTCAAATCAGCTGTACCATTTGATGTTCTTACCAGCCGTAGATGAAGGTGCGAGATAGTTAAATTTTCCAGGTGAACTTCCACTGCAGAAAACATTTTTTCAAATGTAATTCCATTTGGAATTTTGTAAGTTCCAACACAATACTTGGATTCATAGTTTATGGAATTATTTAATTAAGAAACAAAACTGTAACCATTGAATGGAAGTTATAGTTCAGCAATTTGTTTCAATGAAAGAGAACTTCTTAACAAGAAAGCTGTCAAACAGCAAACACTGTTAAGTCATGAGTTCTCTTTTATGTATATTATTCAAGGCATCTGAGAGGAGTACTTTGGGAGAGTCCTCTATTGTACTGCTTCCCAAATTGTTTTTATATCAGAATCACCTGCTGATCCAGGGACCACACTTCGAAAACCAGCACTCTTTTGGGTAAGATGTTGGGCTGCCTTTAAGGCGGTGGCTCTCAACCTTGACATACACATGAGACTCACTGGAGAGGTTTAAAAGAATCCAAATGCTCAAGCCATACGCCAAACCAATTAAGTCAGAATATCTGCCTGTGGGACCCAGTCATGTTTTAAAAAGCACTGCAGATTATTTCATTGGTTGCCAAAGTATTGTTTCTCTAATGATTTTTATGGTTCTAAATAATTTTTAAAAATTGTGTTACCACTTATTGGCATTAAGATAGGATTTCCTTTGTAAAACTTATCACCATCTCATGAAAAACAAAGAAAGACTTAGCAACCATTACAGACCTTACGGCAGTAAAGAGACATGGTGATTATGTGGAAGTAATATCCTGATTTGGATCTGAAATTAAGAGAGGACATTGATGGAAAAACTGATGAAATATGAATAAATTTGTAGTTTTGTTAATGGCATTGTACCAATGTTGATTCCTTAGTTTTGACAAATGTACCATAGTTGTATGAGATACTAGCGTTAGGAGAAGCTGGGTGAAGGGTCTACTGGGATTCTCTGTACTGTCATGGCAACTATTCTATACCTTTAAAGTTATTCCAAGGTTTCTTTTTTTTTTTAAGTCATCTTCCATACCTACATGAGGAGCAATAAATAAAAATCCAATGAAGAATTTGTTGTTCCATATTCTAAATTTATTTACTCACATTTGACTTTCATTTACAGTTATAAAAATTATGTCTTTCTTAAAAGCATGGTCATTAATCTCATTGTAAACACAACTACTTGTGTTACTGTGTTAGTTGTGTTATTCCATTCCACAAGTGCTACTTATGTTAGTCCATTCAGTCTGCCATAACAAAATACCACAGACCGGGTAGCTTAAATGACAGAAATTTATTTTTTCACACTTCTGGAGGCTAAAGTCCATGATCAAGTTACCTTGGAGGTTGGTTTCTGGTTGAGAACTCACTTCTTGGCTTGCAGATGACTGTCTCCTGCTGTGTCCTCACATGGCCTTTCTTCTGCTGTGCACAGAGATAAAGAGGGATCTCTGGTATCTCCTCCTCTTCTTATAAGGTCACTAGTCCTATGGGATTAAAGCCCTCCTTTAAGATCTTGCCTATCTTTTATTACCATTTTATAGGCTCTATCTCCAAATCACACTGGGAGTTAGGGTTTCAACATAAGAATTGTGTTGGAACACAATTAAATCTTTATCAGGACTGTTAGCAAATGGTTTCCTTTTCCTATCTGCACATTTTGCAAACTGGTGATATTTGATTTTACCTTTCTGAGGACAATGCAAGCACATTTCACACTCACTGACAACCATTGTCCTTTGAAACTATTTGCTAAAATTGGGTTTTGTATTGTATATTATATGATTTGAATATTTCCAAATAATTCCTTGCTAGCTTCGTTGTTCTGGAATGACATATTCTAATGATCACGTTAGAGAATCTTCCAATAATATTAATTCCACTTTTTCATTACTTAGTATCATTTTAACTCAGTTGTATGTTTTGTGAAACATCTGTCTCCAAACTAGAAAATGGTTTTCTGTATGCCAGAGATGATAGTATGTGAACAAATGTTTTCCTCTTCTTTAAGAGCTGTCTGGAAATGGAAGGAAAAGGCCAGTCAAGAATGATAAATTATGTTTAAGATCTAAATTCTCTTGCTTTTTATGTCTCTCCTATGTCAGAGTATACTAACATGGGGGAGGAGAGAGAGCTAAAGCTTTCACTATTCCTGCATTAAAATATTCCTGTTTCACTGGAAAAAGCAAATATGCCTACACTTTGTTAAGCGTAAGTGACATTTTTAGATTAGCAGAAATCTAGGTCAAAGTTCTTTTGCAATCTTCAAAGTACTGCTTTCCGTTAAAAACAAAATGGAAACTGGAATTTCTCAAAGCAGCCCCTGGATGATTTTCATTAAATTGATAAACTCTCAGATATATTGTACATGAAAAGCTTTCTGAAAAGGCACTGCTGCTGTGGAAATGTCACTGGGACCAATTTCAGATGGTTCCTGCGCTTGGTAAAAGGCCTTCTATCCTAGTGTTAGATAATGTGACAATGCCGGTAGATTATTCTTAAAGGTGAGACAGTGGTCTCTGTGGAGGAGTAAAACAGTACATGTATTCTGTTTGTGTATCTGTGCAGAAACTGGGACAACATAAAGAGGTTCACTCTATGTAAAAAATGCCAATTGAACAGCATTTCAATAAAACCAATAAACTCCTAAATGGCCTTGATTTTAAGTGCTGAATATTTGCATTTGCTTTCTCAGGCAAGATGGCCAAGTCAATGGATCTACTGATGCTTTAAACAATCCGTCCACTAAAGCCATTGCCTATTCTTATGAAGCCAAGAAGACTCGCAGGTACTGTGGTCAATTATAAAACAAATGACACAACTATTCGCCTTCTGGATTTTTTCTTCCTTTTTTTTTTTAAACATTCGCATACAACCTGATCCTTCCTTTGAAATGCAGAACTTTTAAAATGTATCAGTGACTAAACAGGCTTATACAAAAGTGTTGTGTAAGCAACTTGGTCATTGAGAAGTTGTGACTTTTGGATAGGAAAGTGTAAAATGTGATTTTCCCTAAGAGATCTACAATTTCTTTTTGTAAAGAATGATTGTGACATTGACATTGATATTCTTTAGGTACGTTTAAAGGTTTCATTAAATCAGATATTACCATGTTGGTTAATTAAGGTCCATTTTTGGCTTGAGATACATAGGGAAAGTTATGGTTTGGATATATGAATGAGATATCAGGGAAATGGACACTAAAACATATTACACAAATATTCCAAATAGTCATCATGCTCTACAGCAGACTTACTGAGTGACCAATTTTCATGATAGTAATCTGCAAGTAGGCCATGATAGTGGAAGTTGAGACAAAATGGGAGACATAAATTTTACAGAAGTAGACTAATAGCACTTTAATATTTATATTTCAAAGTTACAGTTTAGAAGGAATATATGAGCATTATTTTTTTCACTGAATTGGATAATTGCCTTCTTAATTTGACCATCCTTGTAAACAAACTTTAACCATAAAGTAAAATGGCTTGTGTTGCAGCTCCAACGCCGAAACTAGGCATGTGGGACCAAAGGACACTGTTGTGTACACAAGGACATACATGGAGAATAGGTACTGGAAATTGATTGAAGTGTTTTGCTATATATATTTTATAATTTTGAAATAGTCTATGTTTAAGAAGAATTGCCATTATTTTAGGGTATGCTTGCTTTTTTTCAAATAGCAGAACATTTAAGAGCACATTAAGTTCCAAAATGGCTTAAAGACTTAAACATAAGACAAGACACTATAAACCTCCTGGAAGAAAACATAGGCAAAACATTCTCTGACATAAATCTTAACAATGTTCTCTGAGGACAACCTAACCAGCTAACAGAAATAAAAGCAAAAATAAACAAATGGGACCTAATTAAACTTATAAGCTGTTGCGCAGCAAAGGAAACTATATAAACACAACAAAAAGACAACCTATGGAATGGGAGAAAATATTTGCAATAGATGAAGCTAAGAAGGGCTTACTTTCCAGAATATACAAACAGTTCATACAACTTAATAGCAAAAAGACACACAACCCAATCCAAAAAAGGGCAGAAGACCTAAACAAGCAGTTTTCCAGTGAAGACATATAGATGGCCAATAAGTACATGAAAAAATGCTCAATATCGCTAATTATCAGAGAAATGCAAATCAAAACTACAATGAGGTGTCACCTTACAACAGTCAGAATGGCCATCATTCAAAAGTCCACAAATGACAAATGCTGAAGAGGCTGTGGAGAAAGGGGAACCCTCCTACACTGCTGGTGGGAATGCAGTTTGGTGCAGCCATTATGGAAAACAATATGGAGAGTCCTTAAAAAGCTAGAAATAGACTTAACCACATGATCCAACAATCCCACTCCTGGGCATATATCCAGAGGAGGCTCTAGTTCAAGAAGACTCATGCACCCCAATGTTCATAGCAGCACTACTTACAATAGCCAAGACATGGAAACAACCTAAATGTCCATCGACAGATGACTGGATACAGAAGTTGTGATATATTTATATAATAGAATACTACTCAGCCATAAAAATGAATAAAATAATGACATTTTCAGCAACATGGATGGGCCTAGAGGTTGTCATACTAAGTGAAATAAGCCAGAAAGAGAAAGAAAAATGCCATATGATATCACTCATATGTAGAAACTTAAAAAAATGACATAAATGAACTTATAAAACAGAAACAGACTCACAGACATGAAAAACAAACTACAGTTACCAGGGAAGAATGGGGGTGGGGAGAGAGAAACTGGGAGTTTGAGATTTGCAGATACTATTATACATAAAATAGATAAACAAAAAGTTTATACTGTATAGCACAGGGAACTATGTTCAATACATTGTAGTAACCTATAATGAAAAGGAATATGAAAAAGAATATATATATACATGTATGATTGAAACATTATGCTATACACCAGAAATTGGCATGACATTGCAAGCTGATGATTATACTTCAATTAATTAATTAATTAATTGATTGATTATTTTTAAAATAAGAGTATATTGAGTTCTAGGTATATAACTATAATCTTTCCAGTATTAAGTAGTTGTCAAATACTTATGCAAAGTAATTGATGGACCAAATAATATTTTAATATAACACATGTATACATAATAGGGCAGTTATTTGAAAGTTGCCACATAAGCATACATGACCATAAATAAACTTTATAAAATCACACAACTATTCCCATGCTAATTTGGAGTCACGCTTTAATTAAATAGTTCTGTCAACTGTTGCTTACCTCTAAACTGAAATAAAGGATATAACTTTTAGTAAATATGCTCTGGCCCACAAAACTGCTGCTTGATGTGATGGAAGTTGAGGAAAATGTCAACCAAAGTCAGGGATTCACAAGCCATTCAATTTTTAAGGAGCAGAAAAACAAGAATTAGCCTAATTGTGGGGGCCTTAATGGTGGGGCGTGCCTATGTGGGTATACGTACACATTTGTTAACCATAACCCACTTCAAAGAGCCCAGAAAACAGGGTATCTGGGGAGGGGGCTCCCAGAAATTTAGGGCTTATCAGGATTTCTCAAACCGACAAATAGGTTACCTTGTAAAATACAACCTCGAGTTTGATTTTTCTACTTAATCCAATTCTCCCTAAAATTGACACTGACAGCTCAGTATGGTATAGAGGATCAAATATGGGACTGACTCTTAGCTTGTCATTTACTGACCATGTAGTCTCGGCAAAGTTACTTAACCACAGTTTTCTGACCAATAAAATGAGAGTAATGGTATATGCATCATGCATGAATATGTGCAGATTCTTATTTAGCACTGTGAGCTATGTGTTCCATAAAATGGGATTCTATTTCTGACAGCAGTCTGCCTACCGGCAGTTTAGAGGGAAAGATTTCTCATCAGGAAATCCCAAGTGAGGGCTGTGGAGTTATCACTCACTGTATGAAATAACAGGGACACACTGCTTCCAGTCCTAATATGCTCACAGGTAGCACAAGTACTAGGGAAGCAGTTGTGGGTTCACCAGCTGGTCAGTGCATCGCAGACCAGACTTCACTTGTCTCCAGGAGAGAGTGACGTTTACAAACTAGAGCAGTCTAAGGGAACAAACTGGATTTTTAAAAGTGACAATATTTTTGCTTTCATTCTAAACTATTCTTAGATGTTTTCTAAGTAAAACTAAAAACTGCTATAGCTTTCTCTAAAAGTTCAAGAGTATTTCTCTACATGAGTGGTGTCTGTCTGTTTGCTTGCACTGGCTCGTGCTTTGTGTATTTTTTTTTTTTAATCTATGTTAGACTACAGAGAGCTTTCTTTTAGTAAAAATAAGGGCGGTGCTGGTATAAAGTTCACGAAAAATACTAACTGCTTTTCCTGCTTACACTTGTTCTTGCCTGCTCCTTGCCCCATTCTGTATTAACTTTGGTAGATATGTCAATTTATATTAACCTGGAGGTGGCTTGCATATCAGTAGTCTCCAGATTAAAAAGAGAAGTGTCAGTACATTGTCCTGGCTTGTGACATCACAAAGAATTCACAAAGAATAGTTAGAATGAGGCTGCGTGAGTGGGGGCATGTGTGCTTCCTCTCTTGCATGGGGGTATATACTTCAGGACCAGGGAAATAGCCCAATTCTCACATGTCCAACATGTCTGTTTCTAGTAAATCACCAAAGGATGGCTATCAGGAGAATATCTCTGGAAAATACATACAAACTGTTTATTCAACTTCAGATAGGTGAGTATGTCTTTATTTCCGTACATCAAAGTATCCACTTTTTAAAAAGTGTATCTATCCTTATATATTATATGTGTGTATGTATTTCTATAAATACTGTATCAGATATGTGTATATATACTATATATCATATATAATATATATTTTAGTATATATATAGCATTGAAATATATGTTTATATTCTTCTCCACTGAACTTGGAAATGACACTCTTGACAGTGATGGTTCTATTGGTGCGTGTATGAGTGGAGCGAAGTCCAGCAACCTCTGCATCCAGGAGTTTGTTCCTTGGTTTCCTGGCTGTTGTTCTTTAATTTTGATGCACTTGATTCCAATAGAGCTTTCTGGGCCTTTCAGCTGTCTCCCAGACCCGTGTCTCCGCTGTCAGTGATCCCAGGAGTCCCCAGTACTGCCACATTATTAGCATCTAGGCTTCACTGCGTCCCTAGACCGTGGCCTCAGCCCTCGCTCCTTGTGGTTTTCTGAAGCCAGCGCACCTTGCAAACAGCTTGGTGGATATACTGCTGTGACCCACGTGGGCCCACGCGCAGTTCCCAGGAGGGGGTTACAATAAACATCAATTTAGGGCTGGTAAACTGACCCCAGGCTTTTACTCTTGGTTATTCTCTTTTTCCATTTAATGTTCAGTGAGGCAAATATTTGATGCTCATGAGAGTGTGGTCTGCAGACTTCCAGCGAGGGAATGAAGTAAATAATTAGCATTTCAACCCAATCACTGGAAACCAGCTGTAATGCCAATGTCCAGTGTTCTATTGATGGTGTTTCTTTATAGTGGGGCTGGAAATACGGCTCACTGCGGATAAGGACATAGCTCATTTTTATGCATAGCCCCAACTTGTAATGCAGTGCTTGGCATCTCAGTACTCAAAAAACAATCCCTGAAAAAACAAACTAAGGGAAACATGGCCATCAAATTTATACCCCTTGGTCACTTTTTTAAAACCTTATATTACCAATGCTCTTCTGAGTGTCTTCCCTTTAAGTCATCTCTCTGGTGTGCCCATACAAGCACCAAATACCGTCTAGATAGCCAAAAAATCAGAGCTAGATTTTTCGTAGTGTTTTGAAAAGCTCTTTAACTTAAAGTATGCTCTTAATAAGGATGGCATTAACATCAGAGCTTTCCCTGGGCTCATATTTTTATTGTTAACCTAAGGAAGGAAAACATTCTTCATTGAAGTGTTGCTCTTAATATGAAGAATTTCAATCCTGTTCCTCATGTGATCCTGGAAATTTTTTTTAGTCATCAGAGCAGAAGTCAATTCTCTGATAAAACCAGTCAGTCAAGCAACTTTTTCTGTTGATTATTGTGTGAAATTAGCTGTGTCCCACCCCACACCCCCTAGTTCTTATCTGAACACGTCAATCCCATTTAAAGTGGCCAGTGGCACTTTACAGGATAAAGAATGGACATGATTTATGGGCCTTTAAAGGGAAGCTGGTCCTGCAGAATACTGACTGATGCTCAGTGACTCCAGCCACCCTCATTGTGTAGCATCCCATTCACTCTGCTTGGAATCCCTCCGTTGCACACCTCCTCTCCTCCCCGAGATCACCTTGAGAGCACCTCTCTCTCCTGGAGAGTGCCTTCACCTTCAAGCTTTAACTCACATGGCACTTGCGCTGACAAGTCTCTCCTGACTTCACCCTGGGGATTAGTTGCTCCGTTGGCTGTGCTCTCCTAACTCTTTCCCCACATCTGTAAATGTGGTGATCAATGAATCGTGCACCTGGCTACCCCAGTGGAAAGAAAGCTTCTCATTGGCAGAGACCATCTCACGCTTCCTTATTTTCCCAGCTCCTATCTCAGTGTCTCTGGAAAGGAAGCATGCTGGAGAGCACCTGTTTTCTACTCCTCAAGTGCTCACAGTCTTACACGGGAAATTGAAGTATGTGTGTACATATGTACGTATGGGTATAAATAATGCCTAGGAGACTATCTGCCAGGAATATATAAGCAAGTAGCTAGAGAGATCATTGAAAGAGGGAAATATTTATCTATATACATAAGGGTTAGGAGAGGTTACCGGAAAGACTGAGAGTCTAAAACTAGTCAAGGTTTGTCTACTCCAATCCCTTTCCTCTCCCACCATCTCCTCCTGTCTACTTCCCCTGCTCTCTGCTTCTAGTCTTGAGCCGGATGATAGGATCCTGGTTTCTGGGCATGACTAGTTCTTTCTAACCCAGTGGGCCCAGTAGACCTCACAGGCAGGCCCAGAGGGAGCGCAGGACTCTGGGGCCGCTCTGCCTTCATTCACACTCTGCCTCTGCCGTGCTCTGGCTGCATGACAGGAACAACTTACTTACCCTTCAGTGCCTCTTCTGTAAAATAGAGATAAAAATAATAGTGCCTGCTTCTCAGAGATGTCGTGAAGAGTAAATGAGCTCATATAAGCAAAGTGCACAGGGGCTGCGCTGGACGTGTGACACTGTATTAGTGCTGTGTGAGTCTTCACTATCATTATTTCACCGCCCCATCGTGTGTCCTACTCTGGAAGTCTCAGGCATGTGTGCGAACGCCCCGAGACTCGTAAACTCTGCAAGGCGCTATTTAAGACAGTCCTAAGACCTTCCAGAAGAAAAAAAATCACACAGTTATTGACCTTTCTTAAGGCTTCGGAGTCACACAAGGTCTTTTGACTTGCTGATCATTTATGAACAGTACTAAACATTATTTTTCCAAAATAAATAACAAAACTCTTTTTCCCCATAACATTTGTGGTGAGGTTATGTCACGTTGGAGAATTTTTGTCATGAAAAGCATTCCAATATTCTAAGTCTTACAATGACATTGAAAGAAATGTGTGGAGGAGCACCTTGGTGTCTAGACCCTAGCGTCTAGGACACCACAGGTACCAGCCATCATTTGTGAATTTACCAACACATTCTTGAATAGATTTCTGTTTTTGTCCTATTGAATGTTTTAAGAGTTAAAATTTTATACTAATCTGCAGCATAATTTTTCTATGATATATGTACATTAATAATTCAAAACCCTCTTCTAGCTTCAAGGGGTACTTATGACCTAGTTCAATTAGGAAACTGTGAACATCTTTGCTCTGCCCAGATGCACTGTTGATTGCTAATGAATTAATAATTTGAGATTTTTCTTCATGTTAATTCTTTGATATCATTTTGAGGTAAGGAGAAGAATCAACTCTATCACTAGGATAAGTAAGTCCTGAACTTTCCTTGATTTTTACACAATTTACTAAAG